ATACTCCTCCTCCCCAATTTGATATCCAATTTTTCTTTATCTAAATCATTTGACACCCTCATCACCTTACTCTTTTCTATGTTCACTTTCAACTTTCTACCTTTACACACATTCCCAAACTCATCCACTAACCTTTGCAATTTTTCTTTAGAATCTCCCATAAGCACAGTATCATCAGCAAAAAGTAACTGTGTCAATTCCCATTTTGAATTTGATTCCCCATAATTTAATCCCACCCCTCTCCCAAAACACCCTAGCAATTACTTCCTTTACAACCCCATCTATAAATATATTAAACAACCATGGTGACATTACACATCCCTGTCTAAGACCTACTTTTACCGGGAAGTAGTCTCCCTCTCTTCTACACACCCTAACCTGAGCCTCACTATCCTCATAAAAACTCTTTACAGCATTTAATAACTTACCACCTATTCCATATACTTGCAACATCTGCCACATTGCTCCTCTATCCACTCTATCATATGCCTTTTCTAAATCCATAAATGCAATAAAAACTTCCCTATCTTTATCTAAATACTGTTCAACATATATGCTTCAATGTAAACACCTGATCTACACATCCCCTACCCACTCTAAAACCTCCTTGCTCATCCGCAATCCTACATTCTGTCTTACCTCTAATTCTTTCAATTATAACCCTACCGTACACTTTTCCTGGTATACTCAGTAGCTTATTCCTCTATAATTTTTACAGTCTCTTTTGTCCCCTTTCCCTTTATATAAAGGGATTATTACATGCTCTCTGCCAATCCCTAGGTACCTTCCCCTCTTTCATACATTTATTAAACAAAAGTACCAACCACTCCAACACTATATCCCCCCCTGCTTTTAACATTTCTGTCATGATCCCATCAGTTCCAGCTGCTTTACCCCCTTTCATTTTACGTAATGCCTCACGTACCTCCCCCACACTTACATTCTGCTCTTCTTCACTCCTAAAAGATGGTATACCTCCCTGACCAGTGCATGAAATTACTGCCTCTGTTTCTTCCTCAAAATATTCTCGCCATCTACCCAATACCTCCATCTCCCCATCTACTAACTCCCCTACTCTGTTTTTAACTGACAAATCCATATTTTCCCTAGGCTTTCTTAACTTGTTTAACTCACTCCAAAATTTTTTTCTTATTTTCATTAAAATTTCTTGACAGTGCCTCTCCCACTCTATCATCTGCTCTCCTTTTGCACTCTCTCACCACTCTCTTTACCTTTCTTTTACTCTCCATATACTCTGCTCTTCTTATAACACTTCTGCTTTGTAAAAACCTCTCATAAGCTACCTTTTTCTCTTTTATCACACCCTTTACTTCATCATTCCACCAATCACTCCTCTTTCCTCCTGCCCCCACCCTCCTATAACCACAAACTTCTGCCCCACATTCTAATACTGCATTTTAAAACTATTCCAACCCTCTTCAACCCCCCACTACTCATCTTTGCACTAGCCCACCTTTCTGCCAATAGTCGCTTATATCTCACCCGAACTTCCTCCTCCCTTAGTTTATACACTTTCACCTCCCTCTTACTTGTTGTTGCCACCTTCCTCTTTTCCCATCTACCTCTTACTCTAACTGTAGCTACAACTAAATAATGATCCGATATATCAGTTGCCCCTCTATAAACATGTACATCCTGGAGCCTACCCATCAACCTTTTATCCACCAATACATAATCTAATAAACTACTTTCATTACGTGCTACATCATACCTTGTATATTTATTTATCCTCTTTTTCATAAAATATGTATTACTTATTACCAAATTTCTTTCTACACATAGCTCAATTAAAGGCTCCCCATTTTACATTTACCCCTGGCACCCCAAATTTACCTACTACTCCCTCCATAACATTTTTTACCCACTTTAGCATTAAAATCCCCAACCACCATTACTCTCACACTTGATTCAAAACTCCCCACGCATTCACTCAACATTTCCCAAAATCTCTCTCTCTCCTCTACACTTCTCTCTTCTCCAGGTGCATACACGCTTATTATAACCCACTTTTCACATCCAATCTTTATTTTACTCCACAATCCTTGAATTAATACATTTACAGTCCCTCTTTTCCTGCCATAGCTTATCCTTCAACATTATTGCTACTCCTTCTTTAGCTCTAACTCTATTTGAAACCCCTGACCTAATCCCATTTATTCCTCTCCACTGAAACTCTCCCACCCCCTTCAGCTTTGTTTCACTTAAAGCCAGGACATCCAGCTTCTTCTCATTCATAACATCCACAATCATCTCTTTCTTATCATCTGCACAACATCCACGCACATTCAGACTTCCCACTTTGACAATTTTCTTCTTCTTATTCTTTTTAGTAATCTTTACAGGAAAAGGGGTTACTAGCCCATTGTTCCCGGCATTTTAGTTGACTTTTACAACACGCATGGCTTACGGAGGAAAGATTCTTATTCCACTTCCCCATGGATATAAAAGGAAAATTAATAAGACCAAGAACTATTAAGATAAAATCAAAGAAAACTCAGATGAGTGTGTATAAATAAATGTGTACATGTATGTGTAGTGTGACCTAAGTGTAAGTAGAAGTAGCAAGACATGCCTGTAATCTTGCATATTTATGAGACAGACAAAAGACATCAGCAATCCTACCATACCTATACATGGTCATCAAATGAAGGAAACTGGAAAGGCTGACTGGCAAACAAATGAACCTATTGTGAAATCCCATGCAACCATTGACAATAATACCAACATGCATTTGGTAGACAATTCTGACATGCAAACTGGGTCTGTGGAATGCATCAGGAGGAGCTGCAAGTGATACATGAAATTGCTTTTTCATCTACTGGATGTTGCAGTGCTAAATGCATGCAATATGCTTCATGTGAAAACAGGACAAATCCAAGCTGGCTGATTTCCATCTATCATAAGACAGATAACAGGTTAAGGCTGTCAACATGTCACCGTGTAAGTGATCCATTTTGGTTGAAATGAAGTGCACACTTTCCTGACATTATTCTTGCTACACAGGAGGAGGAAAAGGCATAGAAACAATGCTATGTAAGTCAGCACACAACTAGAAAGTAAAGCAAGCGAATAGATACATCTCTAAGTTTAGTAGTATTGCAGTGTGGCTTGCGAATAACATACCTTGAAAAAGTTCTAATACAGCAATAAAAATGTGAACAGTGTTGTATAACAATAATTAAATGCAAGACAGACCATGATTTTGTACAGATATACAGCAAATATTGATACTGCATTATTATTATGGTGCAGTGTGCTTCCTGAGCTATTTATGGTACAGTATTATTTTTGCTTGAAATCAGGATATTTCCATTGCAAAATGTGGTACTCAGTGTTAACAAGTGTGTGATGTAGTCCAGCTGGGCTTGTGAGGTCTCTGGGGAGACCTAATTTGACCAATTATATGGTCACACCTTGCCTTGGCAGGCGTCTGTAGCCACGCCCACGTCTGAGGTCTTTTGTTCTTGACGCCTCAGACCTAGGCGTCAGGTCGTACACGTGGTACATACAACATTGGGGAGGGGGGTACTTTGACTACGATATAAGCCCAGGGAAGAGCGGGGCAAGGAGGTTGTTGGTGACAGGTCCGTCGAGCGAGAGCTCTGGACAGCCGCGTGTGTAGTAGACCACGCATTGGGAACCTCGGGTCAGCTGGTCGGTGAATTAAGAGTGAGTACTAGTCCGTGTTACTGATAACATCTACCCTTCCCCTGGTAATAAGTCTCATAGGTCAATTGTTATATTGTGTAAATTTCCATCAGGAGATGTTGTATTCTAGCCCTTTTATGTTATTAAGTAAACTATAGCCATAGTTCCCATTTTTATTTGTACCTTCATATGCTATTCCCTAGCTTGTTAAGCACTGGGATATAAAGGGGACGTGCTCACTCGCTGGGATACCTCCGGTAGAGTGGGTAGAGGTCTCACATGGTGGCAGCGGTTTAGCGTTTATCATTAAACGCGGCTCACGTGCTTTACGACTGGTCGGTTTTTGCTATCAAAACCAAATATTAATTTCTTTGTGTCGCCTATCATTTGTTTTACCGTTCACTGTGACCGTAACCTTTAGAATAAACCAGGACAATCCTACTCTTATGGTTGTCAGGTGGGTGATGACCAAATATAATTTGCGTAGCAAGACGTTAAATAGTGCAATCAGACGATCCAGTAGGATACAGGTGAAGTTCCTCGTGAACAGAATGGCAGAGGCTAACGTCAATGTTAGTGATCTCGCACCAGGCTCAAGTGAAGAGTCTAGCAACATGGTTCCACAGCAAGATTCAGTGATTAATGTTAGTGACGGTATAAATAATCAAGAAAATGAAATCACACTATTTAGCTTGGAAAAACCAGAAACTGGAAAAAAATAATCGGCACTTTAGCATCAACACTGCCAACAGTTTGCAAATGTACTTTTCAAACGAAGTTTTTTTAATCCCCATCCCCCATTCCCAGCACACAAGAATTTTATTTTTGAAGTATACCACATTTATGGGGTTAAATCACATCTGACTTCCAATAAATTCTATCAAGAACTTGTATCTAAAATTATTATATAAACTTTCCCATAATTTTGTTAAATGTGCCTATTGTGCATGTTTACTAAAAGGAATGATCAAAATGTTTATAAGACATCAATCATTAGTAGCACACATGCAAAGAATGGTACTGTATTCTATTCCTATTGTAATACTATACTGTGCTTGCATTTTACCATAAAACTGATCACACCTCTCTCTCTCTCTCTCTCTCTCTCTCTCTCTCTTTTTGCTTATGGCGGCCACAGAATCACCAATACTCTAATAATTATCAGAGCAATTGATAAAAAATAAAATACTGTAATTTTTATTTTCTCTAACTCTCATACATGCATCAATTCTACTATAGAAAATCCTTAAACATTTTATAACTACAAAAAAAAAAAAAAAAAAAAAGGACACTTTTAATTAAATCCAGAATAAGTCTCACAAAATACTTACATGGTAGTTTTGTTGCAAAATTAACCAAACGAGGGAGGAATTCTGGGATGCTAAGAATGTACTCCTGATTGATGTCACGTAGAGGTGAGAGGCTCTTAATATTGCTGCGAAGTTTACTTTGTTCATATACTGTAGATAGAAACTTCATATAACTAATCATAAAATGGTGTTTCCCTTTATAATAACTTAACTTAAAAGCTTTACAAGAATAACAGTGGCACAAACATCATTTATTATATGGACAAAGTAGACTAAAGCACTGACTGATAAAAAGTGAAGTCAATATCTAACAAAATTTAACTCATCAGGAAACAATCTAATTATGGAACATACAAAATAAATATAAATACTCAGTGCTAAGATGGCTGTACTACACTAGTAATTCATTCCACTGATAACAATATACTATTCATTTTTTTTTTAACAAACCAACCATATCCCACCCAGGTAGGTGACCTAAAAACAAAAATGAAAGTTTCTCTTTTTAAATATAGCAACATATACAGGAGAAGGAGTTACTAGCCTCTTGCTCCCAGCATTTTAATCACCTCTTATGACATATATAACTTATGGAGGAAGAATTCTGTTTCAATTCCCCATGGAGTTAAGAGGAAATAAACAAGAACAAATATTATGACAACAGATGAAAACCCAGATGGGTATCTATATATGTATATGCATGTACATGCATGTGTAGTGTGACCTAAGTGCAAGTACAAGTAGCAAGATATAACCATGTGGGATACCAGGTATGAGACAAAAAAAAAAAAAAACACCAGCAATACTACAATCGTGTAAAACAATTACAGGTTTCCATTTCACACTCTTTTGGCAAGACAGTAGTATATCCCTGGGTGGTTGCTGTCTACCAACTTATTACCTAGGAATATACTATTCTATACATCATTAATCTGAATAATATTGAGAATTGAAAGTAGCACATAAAACCAATAATGTCAAGGTCTGTAGATCAAGCTAAAAAAAAAAAAAAATTTTTAGTATATCCCCCCTATAAAGGACAAAATATGTTACTTTTAATGGCTCAAAATTTTTCTTTGTTTTGCTTTTAACCACACCAGCCATATCCCAAGGTAGGGTGACCCATAAAAAGAAACACTCACCAGACCAAGAGGGTGCTCATAATTATATTCTACAAGTCTCATGTTCTTCATCTGTCTGTGTGTGCCAGCCTTCTCCTAACATTTGTGAATCACCTCATTATTAATGAAAGTGTAAAATGTGTCTGAAATGTGTCAGCTGTCAACCCTGTCATATTAGTGGCCTCACTCCTGGGTGAGTAGAATTCAGCCTGTCCCCCATCTTTACCTTTACCTCTACTACTCAACATGCAATGCTCACTCCCTTCTTAAGTTAAAAACTATCAGCTTTGGAATGTGAGGCTGTCTGACACCTGAGATTTAAATGCTGACTTTCCCTGTCTCCACCTTGATCCCCTGGACTACTTCAGCTCCATCCTACCTCTTATACTCGACGGGATGGTCACCTGTGAATTAGAGTATTATAACCCCCTTGCTGGATGCTTTACTACTACTACTAGTTTACTTGCTGAAGAACACACAGTGCTGAGAATCATGACTCTATATTCAACATTATCTCTTGTTTTGAATTTAGAATTATCTTTCATGTCTGAGTTTTTATTCTTTGAGTGGGTATTGTTTTACAACACCTTTACTTTATTCCCTCTTGATTATTCTTAGGTACAATAACACCTTTACAGTGGACCCCCGCATAACGATTTTAATCCGTGCAAGAGGGGTAATTGTTATGCGAAATAATCGGTATGTGAATGAATTTTCCCCATAAGAAATAATGGAAATAAAATTAATCCGTGCAAGACACCCAAAAGTATGAAAAAAAAATTTTTACCACATGAAATATACATTTTCCTACACACAAAGAGAAGGATACATGCACAATAGTAGAGTAGTACATGCACAGTATATATTGTGCATGTACTAGTCTACTAAATGAAGAATAAATGACACTTACCTTTATTGAAGATGCAGCAATGACTGATGAGACACTGTGTCCTGGGAGTGCCTTTTCCTCCTGAGTACTGTAGGTCCTGTTTGGCATTTTCTTCCAGAACAGGCCTTATCACACTGTGTATGCCACTACGATTCTTAAATCTCTCAAACCAACCTTTGCTGGCTTTAAATTCACCAATATGAGCACTAGTTCCAGGCATTTTTCCCTGTTCACCTGGGTGTTAGTCGACTTGTGTGGGTTGCATCCTGGGAGACAAGATTAAGGACCCCAATGGAAATAAGTTAGACAGTCTTCGATGACACTGACTTTTTTGGGTTATCCTGGGTGGCAAATCCTCTGGGGTTAATTGTTTCTTGGTATTCTCAATAAGCCACACCAACAACGGTGCTACAGCAGCAGCAGCAGCTGACGGTGGTACAGCAGCAACAGACGATGCTACAGCAGCAGCAGACGATGCTACAGCAGCAACAGACGATGCTACAGCAGCAGCAGACGATGCTGCAGCAGCAGCAGCTGACGGTGGTACAGCAGCAACAGACGATGCTACAGCAGCAGCAGACGATGCTACAGCAGCAACAGACGATGTTACAGCAGCAGCAGACGATGCTACAGCAGCAGCAGACGATGCTACAGCAGCAGCAGCAGCAGACGATGCTACAGCAGCAGCAGACGATGCTACAGCAGCAGCAGCAGCTGACGGTGGTACAGCAGCAACAGACGATGCTACAGCAGCAGCAGACGATGCTACAGCAGCAACAGACGATGTTACAGCAGCAGCAGACGATGCTACAGCAGCAGCAGCAGCAGACGATGCTACAGCAGCAGCAGCAGCAGACGATGCTACAGCAGCAGCAGCAGCTGACAGTGCAGCAGCAGCAGCAGCAGCTGTACCACCAATAGTAGCGATGGTTGATTGGGGTTTATTATACAACCTGGCCGGCTCGGAGACACGCACTCCACTTTCATACTTATCAATGATCTTTTTCTTCATCTCTATTGTAATTCTCACCCTTATTGCTGTAGGGTTGGCACTAGAAGCTTTCTTGGGGCCCATGGTCACTTATTTTCCAGAAAAAGCACCGAAAACACTGTAATAATACGAAATATTCCGATTGTATGCTTGGATGTTACCGCGGAGGCTGGCTGGTAAACAATGCCACCGGCGGAACATGTGAGCGTGGCTCAGGCCGCACATTGGACGCGTCTCGGACGAAAATCGGTGAGCGGGTTTTTAAGCGGTATGTGAGGCAAAATTTTTGCGATTAAAGCAAGTGGTATGCGGATTAATCGCTATGTGATGCCATCGTTATGCGGGGGTCCACTGTATTTTCTATCCTTCATTTTCACAAAGGAATAAAACTTGGATCTTCCTTTAAAGTTCAAGGCTTTATTTTTCACAAATAATAAATAAAAAATAAAAATATTATAAAACAATAATTTTTTTTAACACGTCAGCCATTTACCACCGAGGCAGGGTGACCCAAAAAGAAAGAAAAACCCCAAAAAGAAAAAACTTTCATCATCATTCACACACAATCAGTTCTTACAGAGGTGCTCAGATACAACAGTTTAGATGTCAATCTAAACAGCCAATATCCCAAACCCCTCCTTTAAAGTGCAGGCATTGTACTTCCCACCTCCAGGACTCAAGTCCGGCTAACCGGTTTCCCTGAATCCCTTCACAAATATTACCCTGCTCACACTCCAACAGCTCATCAGGTCCCAAGAAACATTCATCTCCATTCACTCCTATCTAACACGTTCACGCACACTTGCTGAAGTCCAAGCCACTCACTCACAAAACCTCCTTTACCCCCTCCCTCCAACCTTTCCTAGGACAACCCCTATCCTGCCTTTCTTCCACTACAGATTTATATGCTTTCCAAGTCATTCTACTTTGTTCCATCCTCTCTAAATTATAATTACAAAATAATGTTTGAAGCAATGCAAGTGACTATGGACCAACAAAGTCATATTACTCTATACAGGGAACACAAACTTTCAATGTCAACCTTCAATAAAAATAAACCACGTGTACTGCACAACAAAAATCTCATGGCAATGTTACTTACGTAAAGTTTTATTTTCATAAACGTCGAGATCTGAAATGGTGACTGCAAGTATACTGCAAAAATTGGCCAGGTATTCTCCGTCCAACTGGCTTATGAGTCTCTCCAGCCCAGCTGGAACACACAGGAATAACAGCATATTTCTAACACTATTTATGCAGCTTTTAAAGATAATATATAGAGGTATACATCAATTTGAGGGAATTATAAACTAATAGTTAGTTCCAACTTTTTTTAAATGCATTTAAATGCATTTGTGAACTGCATAAATGCCACAATGGTAAACTATTAATTCACACTCACAGTACTATCACTTTACTGCATTCTATGAACATTACAATCCTATTATCTCCATTTTCAAGTGAAAAAATGGAAACAAATTACTCTTCAACCAAAGTAAAAAAAAAAATTTTTAATACACCAGCTGTAGAGTGACTTGAAAAAAAAAAAAAAAACTTTTGCACCGTCAATCACTCCATAACTGTCTTGCTAGAGGTGAACTGACACTACAGTTCAGATGCCCCCTCCAAGCTGCAATATCCCCTCCAGGACTAAAGTTTGGCTAACTGGTTTTCCTGAATCCCTTCATAAATGTTACCTTACCTCACTAACACCCCAATAGCATGTCAAGACATAAAAAGAACTTGCTTCCACTCACTCCTATCTAAACACACTCAAACAAGGCTGTCGGATGTGCAAGCTCCTCACATACAAAACCTCCTTTATCCTCTCCCTCCAACCTTTCTTAGGATGACCCCTTTCCCTCCTTCCTGCCACTACACCTCCAAGTCACCCTATTTTGTTCTATCTTCTCTAAATGTCCAGATCACCTCAATAACCCCTCCTCATCCCTCCGAATAATACTTTTTGTAACTCCACACCTCCTAATCTCCAAACAACAAATTCTCTGCATAATATTTACACCACACATTGCCTTCAGACATGACTCCTTAACCGCCTCCAGCCTCTTCCACACTGCAATGTTTAATAGCCCATGCTTCACACCCATATCCATTGCCTCAATGGAAAACATTCTTTGTATCTACAGAAACCTCAATGCACTACTCAATCATAATTGTACAACACACTACTGGCTTTTTCCTTTATAATTCTTAAATTCTCTTTAATTCCCTTTACCCTTATACATGCTCTCTGCCAATTTTTTTTTTTTTTTTTTTTTTTAATCTTCTCTGCCAATTCCCAGGCATTTTCCCCCATCACATGCATATGAACAAATGTACCAACCACTCAAAAATTATATCCCCACCTGCTTTTAAAATTTTTATCTTAATCCCATCTATCCCAGTTGTTTTATCCCCTTTCATTCGAGCCACTGTTTCATGCACTTTTCCCCTTGCTTACATCTGGCTCCCCCTCACTCCTATATGACAGTATACCTCCCTGCCCAATGCAAGAAATTACTCTTCATATATTCTACCCTAGGTAAATCACTTCTACAATGTAAAAACCTTTCACATCTTCCTTATCCCATCATTCCACCAATCGCTCCTCTTTCCTCCAGCACCCACCCTCTTATACCCACAAACTTGTGCTGCACAGTCTTACTACTGTAATCTTGAATCTACTCCATACCTCTGATAAATTCATTACCTACTCTCTCTAGCCCATCTTTCTCCCCACACACCTTTTCTGGTGCCTGCTGCTTGTTAGGAAAACCACAGAGTGAAGTACAGACTGAATATTTTGGCCCTAACAGTTTGCAGCCTATAGAATCAGTGAGGACACTGGGTGTATACCTGGACTCTTCATTGTCATTAGTTGAACACATCAACAAACACTGTTAATTCTTGAAATTCTATTTGCAGTGTCTATGCAGTCAGAAAATATCTTGATAAGCAGATTATCTTAGGTTTTATCCATGTATTTGTTTCCTCTCATATAGATTTTTGTAATTAAGTTTGTTAGTGGGTTTGACTAACTACTTGCTAAAAAGACTTCAGCCTGTACTGAATTGTGCTGCAAGACTGATACTTTTGCTCCCAGCTGAGGTTCCCACTAGTACCTAGTAATACAAGCTGCAATAACTCCCTATCAAAGAAAGAACTTTATTTAAGCTCTGCATATTTACTTTTTAAAGCTATTAAGTTTAATGTGTCCAAGTAGCTTGCTATACACTTGTACCTTTAACATCAGGCTCAGAAATGTTTCTGTGAATTGCCATAAACCCTTTTCAACTGACTGAACCTTGTGCTATTGGTAGAACTGCATTAAGATTTTGTAGGCCCCTGGGCTACAGTATTGTGAGGGGCCCCCAGTCATATTGTCAAAAGGAAAAAAGGTAAATAAATACTAATATTTTTTTAAAAGGTTAATAACAATTAAAATTCAAACATTTGCTTTGTGTAATTTCTTGGAAAGAAATTGTGAATGCTTTTCACTTAATCTCTGGAGGCCTTCCAGCTGGAGGAGGCCAATGAGCTGCAGCCCCTAAAGCCCATGCCTTACTGCGGCCCTGGCTGTTGGGGAGAAATCATTCGCAGAAAGAGCCTTTTCTTTTGTAGGTCCCAGACTGTTCAACAGGCTGCCAGTGTCTGTTAAGAGTTGAAAGCACATTTCTTTTCTAGAGCTTATGATCCTGCTCATACTGTCCCTCTTGAATATATACTTGAGTCTTTTTTCATTATTGTTGTTGCATTTATGGTTAGGTGTGCAAGCGCCTGTGAATTTCTTAAAAGAACAAGCACTCAGGAATAATAAAATCCCAAATTATTATTATTACTATTAGTTAGCAGACATTCTGAAGTGGAACAAGAGTAGTCATAAGGAGTGGTACATTTAAAATAAGTTTACAGTGGAACCTCAAATATCGAACTTTCTTCGGTCCAGAAGGCTGTTCGAGTGCCCTTACCGAATGAATTTATTCCCATCAAGAATAATGTAAATTAGATTAGTCCATTTCAGACCCTCAAAAATACACTTATAAAAGCACTTAAAAAAATACACTTACATAATTGGTTGTGTTGGGAGCAGTTCGATTTTTGAGGTTCCACTGTACCTATAATCATGGGCCATCCCATTACAGACACGCAAGAAGCTATTACCATAACACCATACTTTAATGAAACACGCACATAATTATTTTACCCATATTACAAACATGTAAAATTACACCAAATGAGCTGTCATGAATAAGATCTGAGCATTTTTTCCAACTAACAAAGTACTTAGAGTATGTTCACTGTCACTTCTCATACAGTACCCACTTGCATTCATCAGTATTTCACACTTGCAGTACCTGTACATCTTACCGTTCTTTTCCTTTTCCTACCCTCAACTTACTCTCATACACACTCACTCATTCATTTAATCCATTGAATGAACAGACATACTACTGTAGTACACTCCTGTAATCTTAAGGAGTCATGGACTTGCATACTCTGCATTTTTCCTCAACAATAAAATTTCTTACTAATGTATAATACTTCCTACTCAACTTACGTATTGTATCGAGTTGTAGAGTGCTTTTTCTCAGTATGAGGAGATGTTCAATAAGTGTAATGGCTTTGGTGTATGTCTCAGAGTCGGACATCATTGAGAAAAGAATTTGTAGTACTTCATCACTGTCGCTTAGTTGGCTTCCAATGGAGGTATCCTGGCAATGAGTATTAAAGACAGAAATTGAGGCACAGTGGTTTAAACAGCATACTTTCTTAAAAAATACATGCCACGGAGGCACAGCAGTTCAGACAACATACCTGCTCAAAAATATGCATCCCATTATTGCTAATCTTGCCATACATGGCATTGTATAAGCAAGGACATATAATTTGCTATTATTTGAAAAGTATCTACCTAAAAACCATATTTAGTACTCTTTCTGAAAGTAAGCCAATGGCTTGCCAATTGTTTAGTGACTGCATGATCGGCCAGGTTATTGCTACTTCTGGCCAGTAAGCCTACATAACCATCACAACTTTCCTGAACCAGCATAGCCTGAACAAGCTTGAGGAACTGTCCTACCTTCAAATATCTTCCTAATAATGTAACCTAAGAGCATGTTTAATGGTATATGCTTTAGCAATTCAATGCAAACAGTAAAAGATCTCGTGTGTTTTCTAGCTTCAATATTTACTTCATTTTTAAAAGGATATTTAAAAACAGACTGATCCAGGTGTTTGCCACTTAACAAATAAGATGCATTCCACAAAACTTAGCCAAATTTAGTTACACCATATACCAAAACCCATTTTTCTACATTTGCCCAATACAGTCAAACATTGATTTCACTCAATCTTACATTCCTTCTGTGTGGACATTACATTTTGATTACCAGGAATAATTCTATTGGATTTTTTCTTTAATATTTTAAATGGCTTAATGGAACATCTGGACACCAACTAATGCAGTGCAATATTGATATTCTCAGAAATTAAAAAAAAAAATGAAATATAATAATTATTGACTAAATGATATTTATGGAGAATGCTACTTTATGAGCAATACTATTAAAAATTATTACAGTACTGTACTAATATTATCTCAATTATTTTATTGCAGTAATTACTTCATCATTATTTTCTATCTTCTCTTCCTTCCAGACTGCAGGAAACACAAGCACTGACATCAAGCATCCTGCAGGCCAGATACTAAAAAAAGAGAACCTTACCAGTGTCGTGAGTTTTTTGAGAATATTAAGCGTTGCTGCTTGAAGGCTGCCAACACTGATAGAATGGTCACATCTCTCTAGATCACAACACCGTCCTCCAAGATCCGGTAACATTAGCAGAGATACCAGTGTCTATAATGAATAATAAAGACAATGAAAAAAGTCCAAAATACAAAAGTTATTTTTATTTATTTTTTTTATTATCACACCGGCCGATTCCCACCAAGGCAGGGTGGCCCGAAAAAGAAAAACTTTCACCATCATTCACTCCATCACTGTCTTGCCAGAAGGGTGCTTTACACTACAGTTTTTAAACTGCAACATTAACACCCCTCCTTCAGAGTGCAGGCACTGTACTTCCCATCTCCAGGACTCAAGTCCGGCCTGCCGGTTTCCCTGAATCCCTTCATAAATGTTACTTTGCTCACACTCCAACAGCACGTCAAGTATTAAAAACCATTTGTCTCCATTCACTCCTATCAAACACGCTCACGCATGCCTGCTGGAAGTCCAAGCCCCTCGCACACAAAACCTCCTTTACCCCCTCCCTCCAACCCTTCCTAGGCCGACCCCTACCCCGCCTTCCTTCCACTACAGACTGATACACTCTTGAAGTCATTCTGTTTCGCTCCATTCTCTCTACATGTCCGAACCACCTCAACAACCCTTCCTCAGCCCTCTGGACAACAGTTTTGGTAATCCCGCACCTCCTCCTAACTTCCAAACTACGAATTCTCTGCATTATATTCACACCACACATTGCCCTCAGACATGACATCTCCACTGCCTCCAGCCTTCTCCTCGCTGCAACATTCATCACCCACGCTTCACACCCATATAAGAGCGTTGGTAAAACTATACTCTCATACATTCCCCTCTTTGCCTCCAAGGACAAAGTTCTTTGTCTCCACAGACTCCTAAGTGCACCACTCACTCTTTTTCCCTCATCAATTCTATGATTCACCTCATCTTTCATAGACCCATCCGCTGACACGTCCACTCCCAAATATCTGAATACGTTCACCTCCTCCATACTCTCTCCCTCCAATCTGATATTCAATCTTTCATCACCTAATCTTTTTGTTATCCTCATAACCTTACTCTTTCCTGTATTCACCTTTAATTTTTCTTCTTTTGCACACCCTACCAAATTCATCCACCAATCTCTGCAACTTCTCTTCAGAATCTCCCAAGAGCACAGTGTCATCAGCAAAGAGCAGCTGTGACAACTCCCACTTTGTGTGTGATTCTTTATCTTTTAACTCCACGCCTCTTGCCAAGACCCTCGCATTTACTTCTCTTACAACCCCATCTATAAATATATTAAACAACCACGGTGACATCACACATCCTTGTCTAAGGCCTACTTTTACTGGGAAAAAATTTCCCTCTTTCCTACATACTCTAACTTGAGCCTCACTATCCTCGTAAAAAACTCTTCACTGCTTTCAGTAACCTACCTCCTACACCATACACTTGCAACATCTGCCACATTGCCCCCCTATCCACCCTGTCATACGCCTTTTCCAAATCCATAAATGCCACAAAGACCTCTTTAGCCTTATCTAAATACTGTTCACTTATATGTTTCACTGTAAACACCTGGTCCACACACCCCCTACCTTTCCTAAAGCCTCCTTGTTCATCTGCTATCCTATTCTCCGTCTTACTCTTAATTCTTTCAATTATAACTCTACCATACACTTTACCAGGTACACTCAACAGACTTATCCCCCTATAATTTTTGCACTCTCTTTTATCCCCTTTGCCTTTATACAAAGGAACTATGCATGCTCTCTGCCAATCCCTAGGTACCTTACCCTCTTCCATACATTTATTAAATAATTGCACCAACCACTCCAAAACTACATCCCCACCTGCTTTTAACATTTCTATCTTTATCCCATCAATCCCGGCTGCCTTACCCCCTTTCATTTTACCTACTGCCTCACGAACTTCCCCCACACTCACAACTGGCTCTTCCTCACTCCTACAAGATGTTATTCCTCCTTGCCCTATACACGAAATCACAGCTTCCCTATCTTCATCAACATTTAACAATTCCTCAAATTATTCCTTCCATCTTCCCAATACCTCTAACTCTCCATTTAATAACTCTCCTCTCCTATTTTTAACAGACAAATCCATTTGTTCTCTAGGCTTTCTTAACTTGTTAATCTCACTCCAAAACTTTTTCTTATTTTCAACAAAATTTGTTGATAACATCTCACCCACTCTCTCATTTGCTCTCTTTTTACATTGCTTCACCACTCTCTTAACTTCTCTCTTTTTCTCCATATACTCTTCCCTCCTTGCATCACTTCTACTTTGTAAAAATTTCTCATATGCTAACTATTATATTTGCAATCAGATATACAAGCAATAACATCCTGCAATGTTTTGGGGAGGATTTTTTCTTTTATACCATGCACACTCACTGCATACTCACTTTTATATAAGTCTAAGACAAAATTTACTGCTCACAGCTCATCAGAGGGAGCTGAGCTCCCTGAGCTCATTCAGTCTACATACAAGATAGTGAACAGGTTAATTTACCATAAGCATACATTTTTATAAATTTAAAATGGCTTAAGCTATTTTGAATATATAACAATACACTGTAACCTATTATGGTACACTGTTTACTACACAGTAAAGAACTTTTAAGTATTCACAAATAACACGCACTTTGGAAATGAAAATATAGATGTCAGTTAAAAAATAGGAGAGGAGAGTTATTAAATGGAGAGTTAGAGGTATTGGGAAGATGGAAGGAATATTTTGAGGAATTGTTAAATGTTGATGAAGATAGGGAAGCTGTGATTTCGTGTATAGGGCAAGGAGGAATAACATCTTGTAGGAGTGAGGAAGAGCCAGTTGTGAGTGTGGGGGAAGTTCGTGAGGCAGTAGGTAAAATGAAAGGGGGTAAGGCAGCCGGATTGATGGGATAAAGATAGAAATGTTAAAAGCAGGTGGGGATATAGTTTTGGAGTGGTTGGTGCAATTATTTAATAAATGTATGGAAGAGGGTAAGGTACCTAGGGATTGGCAGAGAGCATGCATAGTTCCTTTGTATAAAGGCAAAGGGGATAAAAGAGAGTGCAAAAATTATAGGGGGATAAGTCTGTTGAGTGTACCTGGTAAAGTGTATGGTAGAGTTATAATTGAAAGAATTAAGAGTAAGACGGAGAATAGGATAGCAGATGAACAAGGAGGCTTTAGGAAAGGTAGGGGGTGTGTGGACCAGGTGTTTACAGTGAAACATATAAGTGAACAGTATTTAGATAAGGCTAAAGAGGTCTTTGTGGCATTTATGGATTTGGAAAAGGCGTATGACAGGGTGGATAGGGGGGCAATGTGGCAGATGTTGCAAGTGTATGGTGTAGGAGGTAGGTTACTGAAAGCAGTGAAGAGTTTTTACGAGGATAGTGAGGCTCAAGTTAGAGTATGTAGGAAAGAGGGAAATTTTTTCCCAGTAAAAGTAGGCCTTAGACAAGGATGTGTGATGTCACCGTGGTTGTTTAATATATTTATAGATGGGGTTGTAAGAGAAGTAAATGCGAGGGTCTTGGCAAGAGGCGTGGAGTTAAAAGATAAAGAATCACACACAAAGTGGGAGTTGTCACAGCTGCTCTTTGCTGATGACACTGTGCTCTTGGGAGATTCTGAAGAGAAGTTGCAGAGATTGGTGGATGAATTTGGTAGGGTGTGCAAAAGAAGAAAATTAAAGGTGAATACAGGAAAGAGTAAGGTTATGAGGATAACAAAAAGATTAGGTGATGAAAGATTGAATATCAGATTGGAGGGAGAGAGTATGGAGGAGGTGAACGTATTCAGATATTTGGGAGTGGACGTGTCAGCGGATGGGTCTATGAAAGATGAGGTGAATCATAGAATTGATGAGGGAAAAAGAGTGAGTGGTGCACTTAGGAGTCTGTGGAGACAAAGAACTTTGTCCTTGGAGGCAAAGAGGGGAATGTATGAGAGTATATGTTTTACCAACGCTCTTATATGGGTGTGAAGCGTGGGTGATGAATGTTGCAGCGAGGAGAAGGCTGGAGGCAGTGGAGATGTCATGTCTGAGGGCAATGTGTGGTGTGAATATAATGCAGAGAATTCGTAGTTTGGAAGTTAGGAGGAGGTGCGGGATTACCAAAACTGTTGTCCAGAGGGCTGAGGAAGGGTTGTTGAGGTGGTTCGGACATGTAGAGAGAATGGAGCGAAACAGAATGACTTCAAGAGTGTATCAGTCTGTAGTGGAAGGAAGGCGGGGTAGGGGTCGGCCTAGGAAGGGTTGGAGGGAGGGGGTAAAGGAGGTTTTGTGTGCGAGGGGCTTGGACTTCCAGCAGGCATGCGTGAGCGTGTTTGATAGGAGTGAATGGAGACAAATGGTTTTTAATACTTGACGTGCTGTTGGAGTGTGAGCAAAGTAACATTTATGAAGGGATTCAGGGAAACCGGCAGGCCGGACTTGAGTCCTGGAGATGGGAAGTACAGTGCCTGCACTCTGAAGGAGGGGTGTTAATGTTGCAGTTTAAAAACTGTAGTGTAAAGCACCCTTCTGGCAAGACAGTGATGGAGTGAATGATGGTGAAAGTTTTTCTTTTTCGGGCCACCCTGCCTTGGTGGGAATCGGCCGGTGTGATAATAATAATAATGTTCTATTACACAACTGACTCATCAAAGTGGGAGTTATCCCACTTACACTTGGCTGATGATGGTTCTTTTAGGGGATTCTGAAGGCAAATTACTAAGGTTGTGAATGAATTTGGGAGGGTAAGTAAAAAGAAGGAAATTTAAAGTGAAGAGAGAGAAGAGCAAGGTAATGAGGGTATCAAAGTCTAGGCATTGATAGACTGAACATCAGATTGGAGGGAGGGAGGGAGGGAGTATGGAAGTGGCGGCTATATTTAGATGACTGAGTGGGCATATTAGCAGCATGTCCACTCATGTACCAACACTTTTATATGGATGCATGGCATGGGTTTTTAATGCTACAAAGGGAGGTTAGAAGCAGCAGAGATACCAAGTTTGAGAGCAATGTGTAGTGTGAATATCATGCAGAGAATTTAGAGCATAGAATTTTAAAAAGCAATGTAGGGTGATCAAATGTAACATTCAGAGAGTTGAAGTGGGGTTTTTGAGCTAGTTTGGGTATGTAGAGAGAATGGACAAGGATAGGTTGAAGGTGTATAAATCTGCGGTGGAAGGTAAAAGGGAAAGCGGTCTTCCCAGAAATGAATGGAGGGAGAAAGAGGGGGGGAAAGAGACACAAGTTTCTGAGGAAAGAGGTGGGTGATGCATCGAGGCATCTGTGGAGACAAAGAACCTTATCCATGGAGGCAAATGGGGAAATGCACCAGAGTATAATGGTACTGTACCATTACTTTTATAGGGGTAGGAAGCATGGGTTTTAAATGCTGCATTGAGAAGAAGGTTGGAGGCAGTGAGATAACATGTCTGAGGGCAATGTGTGGAGTGAATTTTATGCAAATCATTCGTAGTTTGGAGATTAGGTGGCATAGGGTTACTAGAAGTATTATCCAGTGAACTGAGGAGGGGTTGTTGGGTGGTCTGGACATTTATAAAGGGATTCAAGGAAACCTGTAAGTCACAGAGGTGGAAAGTACAGTTCCTGCACTCCAAGAGGGGTGAAGATATTGCAAACAGTTTGGAGGGGCATGCCTTTGGAAAGACAGCAACAAAGTGAGTGATGGTGTTTCTTATTTTTTGGGGTCACCCTTTCTTGGTGAGACATAGCCAGTGTGCTTAAAAAAATTATATTAAACACCAATCCCACTAATCCATAACAAATAGATATCCACTTCTACCAGTGTGTATGTATCATAATAAGTACAATTTCCCTCAAAAAATTACGAATTAATCATAAAATAAACTGCCTTCAGCATAAATAAAATTTACAGTTAAGGAGCAACAAAAATCCAAAACAAATCAATGCACTTGGGCAAAGGTATTTTTAAATGAAGACAATAGTTTTTCACATCCTTTAGTGGCTAAACCAAAGACAATGAGTGTGAAAATAAGCACCAGGTATTTGTTGTGAATACCAATGGAAGCTTGCCTTCTCTTTGACTACCAGGCTCTATATTACATCTTTACTACACTAATATATTCCTCCAGTTAACATAGTATTTCTTATGCTGCTGTATTCATCAAATTACATAGCATTCTTTTAAAGATTTTAATATTACAAAAGTAACTCTTTCCTACTGCTCTTGGTTTAAGCTAAATTTATGTATGAAATATTTGAGTTTTCAATTCACTCAAAACAATAAGTGAATGTACAATAATGTCCACTGTCATTTCCACAATTTACTATTTCTCATCCACATTATTATTTGGAATTTCCTATTGAACATTACAGCATATTAATTAATGAACTATGACAAATACTGTAATGTTTCACAGTCAGTAGACAATGGTGGATTTTCTAAAGTGGACATCTTGTAAGGACAATAGATAAAGAAAACTTATAATTGTGGCTTTGTGCATCATATATTTTTAAAATAGGAAGACAGAGATTTGTTATACAAGTACAGCCTCTCCTCACTTAACAACAGAGCTTCGTTCCTAAGAACGTGTCGGTAAATGAATTCATCGCTAAGTGAGGAGCATACTATAACGGTAGTGGGTTTGTGTCAACCATCTCTGATATTGTTTTAATGTCACCTCTGCACCATTTATAACATTACTGGTATATTCTTAAATGTTTATACAGTAGTGTACTGTACATTGTAATAAACAGAATAGAGGAAATAAGCTCTAATATACTTTATTTAGGTACGCATACTGGTCAGAAAGCCTGTTTTAAGTTTGAGGCGTCGGTAAACAAGTACATACGCTGTTTAGTGAGGAGAGACTGTACATAGTATGAATATGGAAGAATGCTTAACTACTATATTAATACCCTAGTGAAGTGAAGCTAAGTGAACTTAAGGGTAAGAGAAAACTAGGAGTAAACTGATGCTAGTATACAGGATGTCTCAAAAGAAACCTGCAAAAAATTGTATTAAATGGAGCTAACTATTAACAAATACTGTTAGTAACTGCCAAGCACTTACCTTAACACCATTGTGCTTACTAATTTGGGAAATAGCATCTATCATTGTAGAATTGTCACCAAGATTCTCCTCTTGTCCTGTATGTAGATTATTTAGTAATACCTGTCAGATGATATACAAGTTCAATAATGCTATTCATTCCGTAAAATATGTACACCATACTGTATCAAAACACCCTCTAGAAATGGAAAAATTACTGGCAAAGGCTTTTCATTTACACTAAGTGTGACCCTTGTATATTTTTCATATTACACTGAAACCCCCTCCATAAGCCGGACTAATGGGAGGGGGGGGGGGTTGTCTGCGTTAGCAAAAATGCATTAGATTTAAAGTTTTGATTCAGCAGACATAGTTCGCTTGATCGACTACCATACATAGACAAATGCCCAATGAAGCAGACTTAGTTTACTTTATTGGTGTACCACCTGACATACAAAGAATAAGCCAGAGTACAATATTACAATGTGGTACTGTAGAATACAACTGTACCTGTACATGAAGAGAAGAGTTGAAAGTAAAGTACAATACAGTAGAGTATAGTCATTATTCTTGCCTTTCCTGGAGGATAGAAGAGCTTACAGATGCACAATATTCCCATGTAGTCTAGTGGTGACCCAGAATAACTTATCCTGAGTCAGAGGTGCTGTAAAGCTCCAGCAGTAATACTGCTTAGCAATAACATTGATAGTGACAGAATTCAGAAAAGACCACATGAGGGTGAGCCTTGAAGTGAAGACAGGCAAAGAATACTGCATGAGAGTAGTGCTTTCTGTCATAAAGAACCAGGGCTAAACCCACCAGCAAAGCATTCATCGAGATGTAGAGGGCAGCAGGGGCAGGTAGTCTTCCAGTGGTAGTCTTGGATAGCAGGCAGGCAGGACTAAAGTGGAAGTGTCGAGTGTAGTGTCTTACATGGATTTGCAGAAAGACCCATTTCTGAATTTCTTGAAAGTAGATATGGAGAGGTTGGACAGTTCAACTTGGGGTTATATCTGTTAAACAAATCTTCACAAATTCTTTCACTTGATAAATTAGATATGTGCAACACCTGGGTATCTTGTTTGTGGAAACGTTTCACCACACAGTGACTTCCTCAGTCTAATAAAAAGAAGAATGGTTGAAGATCAAGAGGAGTTTGAGGTAATCAGCCTCTCAGCTTGGATTCGATGTAATCAGTCCATCAATCTTGATAAAAATACAGCATATGCATAAAGAAAGGGCTTATACTGCAGACAGATGAGGTGAAGCAGTCATAGGCTGTCACCTTGGACAAATCCACAGGTGAAAGTAGGTCATGTTTATAGGTTAGGCAAGTAAAAAATTCCCTGTATCAAGATTCCAAGATGTTGCCGTGTCTGACAGGAATGTAGATAAATGGTTCAGAGAACTGACAAGTTGATAAAATACACACATGCAACACTTGGATATCTTTATTGTGGAAACATTTCGCCACACTGTATTGAACTGTATATAACTGATGTTGACCAGGAACAATGAAAATGGACATGTCCCGGACAAAGTCTGGGCTGGACAAACCTGTAATTAATCAGACTTGGCCCATTTTATCAACAGTACGACTGGACCAGACAGTGGTGCAATACAGCAGACTCAGTCCACTGCATTGCTATTTTTATTGGACACTCCATTAAGTGAACATACTAAGCCTTTGTCTAGTCAGATGTTCTGATATTAGTTTTATAAAAGTTAATTTTATTGAGGTTTTATTGTATTTCACCATGACAATGATGCAGCATCCTTAGTGCTTGTGTAAAGCATTTGACAACCATTTTCCAATTTCTGGAGGTTAATTTGGATATTTAATTTTGACTAAACATGAACTTTTATTATACAGCATATGGTATAGTGTATATATAAAAGACAAAATAAAGTAAAAGTATAGTACAGTACTGTACATGGTAGTACAGTATTTTTAAATCTATATGTGGTACTTAGACACTAACTTATAATAGCCAATGACTGTATGCAGAATATAGGTAGCTTTAACAGGAAGATTAGATAAATCCGCTCTTAAGAAGTCTAGAAATAGAGTGATATTAGTGAGAATAATTTTTCAATCTTGTAAATAGATAAGTTAAGAAAATATTTTCTTATTCAGAATATTACCTTGAGCTGTGTCATAATAGAAAATCTAGTGACCTCAAATTGTTGGAGAGCTGCCTCAAGAATTCTTAGAGCTCTCATAACTTCACTATGTGGCATATGTTCAAATCCATCTTCAGGAACCTGTAGAAACAAGATGTATCAAGCTGGATTTATGTATACAGTACTATATAAATAAAGAAGTAAAGTGCAGATGTTTGATAAAATATCAGGAAACCTGTATAACCAATGGAAATTGAGTATTGAAATAATGAAAAGTAATTGTGTATCTGTTTTACCTTAGAACCCCACTGATTAACAGTCCATGTATAATGCTCTATTTGCACAGAGGAAATAAATCTGTATACAGTACATAAAGTACAGTATTGCTGCCAGTAGCACAACCTAAATATACTCTGTGTATGACACTGAAACCAACTAGCCACACACTGCATTCTACACATACTCCATGAATGGTGTTGCTGCCAACTAGTTATACTCTACATATATTCATGTAACGTGTTGCTGCCAACCACACTGCACATATTCTATGAATGATGTTGCTGCCAGCCAGTCACACATACTTCATGCAAAGTGTTGGTGCCAGCAAGTCATACACTGCATATACTCCATGAATGGTGTTGCTGCCAGCCAGTCACACACACACACACTATACATACTCCATGAATGCTGCTGCTGCCAGCCAGTAACACACACTGTACATACTCGTGTATAGTGTTGCTGCTAGTCATCCCCACACTGAACATGCTCCATCAAGGAGCAACCAATGCAGATTCTAGTGATTTTGCTGATATAGGAAGAGGTGATGGTGGTAGCATTGAGAATGGTCTTGTGGAGAAGTTAGCAGTGTTTTCAGAACAGTGAGGGTCAGAAAGAGGGAAAATCGTTTTGTTTTTCTTTCCAGGAGTGCTTAGTGTTTTAGTGGCAATGGAAAATAACACTGTTCAAGGGTGACACATTCCAAATGGTTGGAAACTTGTGAACTGAAACTGTTTTCCAGTGCTTAAGTCTGGAATCACTAGTGAGTGCACAGCAGTACTTAACCACAATCTTGAATATGGACAAATATAATGTTTTACTAAGAATATACAATACACCTATAACAGTAGTTACTGAAGAGAAATTAAGTCCTTGTTCAGCCTGGGTGTCTCAGTTAGTCAGGAGTGTAAAGAGTAAAGATGAGATACTATACCATAATTTTCATGATACATCACACAATTTGTCAGATGTTTCACTTCTTGTTGGCAGTAGATTTTACACTCAATGCTCATAGAAATAAAAACAGATATACAGGAGAGTCCCGTTTATACAGCAGGTTAGGTTCCGGGCTACTGCTGTAAAGCTTAAATGGCTGTAAAGTGAAACAGCCTTTTCTCACTCTCAAATGCAAGTAAAAGCCTGATAACACGTTTACACTATCATATATTAAGTGAACAATAGAGCTAAGCCTAAAAAAATGCATACAGTACACACATTACTTGCCTTAAAATATTTTCATCCTTAGTTAATAGTGAATATATTTACTGTACGAAGTCTGAATAAATAATGGGTATAATTGAAAGCGTGTTAGATAGGAGTGAATGGAGATGAATGGTACTTGGGACCTGACGATCTGTTAGAGTCTGATCAGGGTAATATTTAGTGAAGGGATTCAGGGAAACCGGTTATTTTCATATAGTCGGACTTGAGTCCTGGAAATGGGAAGTACAATGCCTGCACTTTAAAGGAGAGGTTTGGGATATTGGCAGTTTGGAGGGATATGTTGTGTGTCTTTATACGTATATGCAGGGCACACCTGCACAGTATTATGCTAAGAAGATATAAAAAAAAGACTGGGAAAAGACTCTTAGATACTAGGCATTAGAAAGTTGACCAAATACGTAGATCTAACCAAACTTAATGAACTTCCCATCCAAGCCTCAGAGGGAGCAAATAAATTAAATTACGTGCTTCTTTTCTACTGGAACACATCTAGCCAGAAAAATCCCACTCTCCTGCTTAAGTTGATGATTACTTCACTGATAACCACCTAAGCCCTCTATACCTATCACCAACTATTTCAAATGAGGCTGCTTCTATAATTATGGTGCTGAAAAATAAATCCAGAAACAAATACACAAGAAAGCTTCTGTGTTATCTCCAATTATTACAGAATTGTTCAATAAATCAAGTGAAGCCAAAAGTTTTCCTAAAATACTTAATCTATTAGAAGTTACACAAATCAACAAGTGGTGATCCAACAGAAGTCAATAATTACAGGCCAATTTCAAATTTGTCTGTTTTCCAAAACCTTTGAAAAAAATAATATATAAACAAATGTATAACTTCATTCTACTGCTAAAATCTGAACATTAATAAGAGAACATGCTCTCTCTCAAGCATGAAATCTTACCTGAGTGACAGACACCAACATGTGACCATTAATGACTTAAGTCCGCAAGCAGCCTATCGATCAATATAAGGGTTCCACAAGGTAGTATTCTGGGCCCTTTGCTATACCTAATCTATATCAATGATCTTCCCAATATTCACAGGAACTCAAATCAATTCTGTTTGCCGATGACACATTTGTCATTTCAAACCCTGATCCCACTGCACTCAACAACACAGTAAATACCGAACGTGACAAAATATCTACTTCAGTCACAACAAACACACTCAATATTGGCAAGACTTTCTATATAATGTTTGAGAATAAAGCAAAAGAAATTCATCTGAATATATATTAAACAATACACCAACTGATGAGCAGGACAAAAGGAAATTCTTGGGAATACACCTGGACAGCAAACTAAAATTCATCACAAGAAACCAGAACATTCCAAAAAAAATTTCCAAACTGTAAGCATTCTCTCAGAAACACATTATTACGCTCCCCAAACATCCCTATTTACTTTGTATTAATCTCTAATTTATCCATATATATACCTTGTGTGTAGTACCTATGCATGGGGATCAAGAACAGCTAATCATCTTAAACCTGTTGTTACTCACCAAAAAACAGCTCTCAGAATAATTACTTAAATAATCACTCTTAATGTATAAAATTTTCACACTTTCTACTATGCATGCAATGCCTACAGGATACTTAATTCAAACACATACCCACAGCATAAATTCTATTTGGAGAGCTGCAACAGAAAGCATGGACATAATACAAGGAACAAGTATCTCTGACATTCCACATGTAGAACTCAACCAGCTTAAAAAGACCATGCAGATAAAAGGCACCCAAATTTGTAGCCTACTGACTGAAACTTCAAAAAATATCTCATAAAGCACCTATTAAATCTCTTGTAATTGTTATATCCATTAAAAAACACTTATTAAATCTCTCATAAATATTATATCCAATAACCCTTTGACTGTTTCAGGCCCCTTTCTGAAACTGTCATTCTATGTCGCTAAATTTTTGAAAAAAAAAAAAAAATTATTTTTTCTTATGAAATGATAGAGAATCTTTTCCCGATGGTAATGACACCAAAAGCTCGAAATTTGGTCGAAAACTCATGGAATTACGCTCCCGCGAAGTTAGCAGTCTCTGCGACATATGCGTATCGGCGATTTCGCCGACTTTGAGCCCTATTTTCAGCCAATTCCGTTGTTCCAGTTGACCAAACTCATAGCTATTTCTTTAGAACTCCATTTTACCTATTAGCTGAGTACAAGAAACCTCCCATTTACCAATTTGGACTACCCAATATTGTGGTCAGAAATTGGCAATTTGGCCAATTTCACGCAAACTAAAAAAGATGCCAATTTCAAAATAGGGTCCAGAATAAACAAGGTAGACATTCTTGGCACTAAAATAATATATCCTCTGTTCATTAGTCACATCTCTAGGCCCCTCTTATATTATTATTGCTTTCTATTTTGATTTTTTATTCATACAAAAAAATACAAAATTTACTGTTATGCAGACTACTGCATTATTGTAAAAATGGTATAAATAATATCAGTGCACTAGTGAAAGAATATTAGACTCCCCGGTTGACGTGTATTGGACGTGTGGTGTGATTTGTTTACTCCTGAACATTGGTAAAAATCGAACATTTCCGCTACTATGAGCTCAGTTTCAAGGTTGTTTTCATCGTCAAAGTAATGAAAATCATCTCTATTTCTGTAATATGTTTTCCATTTTATCACCTAAGACCATGAAAACGCAAATACATTGATAAATACTATACGAAAATACACCTCAAAGTCGGCGTTTTAATCCAAAAAAAACGATCAGTTTTTTTTTTCTCATTACGCACTGTGTGCTGCAGGATTTTTTTTGTGGTGCACATTGGCCACACAGACCCATTCTCTCACATGTGGGCCTACCAGCTTTCTTCCGCTTGGTTTGAAGCCGCTAGAATTATTGAGGATATATACGTCTGAAACACTGGCTCGTAAGACGTATATATACGACCAAAACAGTCACAGGGTTAATTGTCTGTAAACTGTCATTCTTTGATTTCACCAGCTCAGTTCAACCATTCCATAAACTGCAAATCACTGATCCGGTGTAAATTCAATGCAATTTATTTGTAAATAGTAATCAATTCTTCATTTGCAACCCATCTCATTATACTTATGAGTATAACGAATTACCCCAGCAGTGCTAAAATTATGTAACAGGTCTAGATACTAGTAGTATGTAAGCCTTATGATTAGTTTGACCAAAATGCACTTACATAATTAGCAGCTTTCTTCTGAGCCTTATATTGTATCGAATTATATCTGTATTATAATCACGCCAAATTCAAAATGTACTGTATAACAAATCTGAATGTTTAACTATTGTAACTAATCTGTGTGGCTCATAAAAATGAAAAAAAAAAAATTAGGTTTGATGTGTAGTATGGCCTTTTTCATACATCTCATGTACTCTGGCAAGTTATTTCATCAGTCATTACTGTATATTACAAAACTTAAGAGAACTTCACTGAAAAAAAGTCCTATTTCAAACATGCTACAACCAATCAGAGAACTTTCACCAATTTCTTAACATGGGCATAACAAGCAGGTTTTTATTGTTAAGTTCCATAGCTTCACACACACATACTTAATGTTTTATGGTTAAATACAATTTTATTTGTTCAGAACAGAATGAAAAAAAAAAAAATCAGAGGCCTTCACTAAGCAAGTCACACTTTTTCAGTCTGCTGGCTCAATAGTATTTCTGTATCAAAAGCTAATACTGAATAATGATCACCCCTCAGGGAAGGTTCCTTGATGCTGGTGAGGGGGTCCTGATCTGGGGAATTGGATCTGTGCTTCAGTTCCCTGAATTTAGTCTGAATACCTTCCATCCCCTTCCTCATGGGTTTAGCACTCCATGATTATAATAAAAATGAATAATGACCATTGCCTATTTTTTTTTATAAATTTTTCATGTGCCACACTATAAGGAACTAGCTTCCCTAAAAAGCTAAGTTTTATTTAGCAAAATCTACACATGACCTTACCAACATGTGTCACTGAGGTGAGAACTGTGTGTAGCCTTAAATATAGGTTGGACAGGTATACTAATGGGTGTAGCTGGTATGCAAGTTAGACCTGCCTAGCATGGACAATATACCTTCACTCGTGTATTCTTGATTATGCTATCGATGCCCAGGGCAAAGCGAGACATCCAGACTACCAAGACTAATGTAAATGTCCAGATAAACTGACGATGGTTGTCAGTGGCACTGAAAGCAATTGTTTTGATGCTGTCTATAAAGAAACATTGTACAGTACTGTTTAACAAGACAAAAAGCCATGATTCAAATTATATTAGTTCAGTAAAATACATTGTAATAATAAATACAGAGTCACTCTTTGACTGAATACAGTACTAAACTTCCTCAAATTTGGTCCATTTGGTAACAGCCTTGATCATAAATTTATTTTCAGAAGCATTTGACATTGTAAACAAGGAAACATTACTTAATTTTCACAATTTTGTGGGAAGTTTTGCAGCACACATTACTGGTACACTGATACTAATAAGGCATCTACCAGTTACCTGACAGCTACACCTTTAGGTTCAGTATCAACTGCAAAACAAGTAAGGCAATAAGTCTGTAAAAAAAAAAAAATACATGTTTTATATTTTCATGGCAGTGTGACACCCCCACAGGTCACTATTGTATTATGTAAATACAAATAAACTTGCAGTATACATATTCAAGCACCCAGATTATTATTATTATCATTATAATCAAAAAGAAGCATTAAGCCACAAGGACTATACAGCTCAAGCACCCAGAGAAGTAACCATCATGCTGAATTCAGCAGTCATGCAGAAGTAATGTTACTCATCATCCTTCAATCACAAGTGATGAAGCAACAGATTGCTACTTTCCTCACCACTCTGGAAAAAAGCCAACCATTTTTCCTTCTGCAACTTTCTCTAGCAAAACATTCATCAAACTACCTCACAGGACTGCAGCAGCAGGTGGATTATAGCAAGCAAGGACAAACGGGCAACATTTACGAATATTTATTTGGGAAAAGTTTTATCCAAAAAGGGCTTTTATCAATTACTGGATTGACAAAGCAAAAGACAGTAAGTTTCTTTAATAAAATATCTAGTGTCGCAAGTGTGTCATTCCTCCACAATGTTAGTATTGATATACTTGATATCTGTACTAGCTGGATAATTATTACAATATTATATTCACCAGAAACACTAAATCTATAAGTAAGTAAGTTTATTTAGGCATAGATACATATAAGAACAGTTACCATACATTGTTTAAATTACCTAATCCAAAAAAGTCAGACAAAGTGACTTATTTCCTGTGGGGGTCATACAGTGCTTACTGTATGAAAAGCAACCAAGTTTAACCCAAGGGCAGTTTCCCTTCCTTGGATCAAGAACTCTACACCAGGATGAAGGTAGCAGCAGGTGAAGTAGTTAAAGGTGTTGCATAATTCAAGGTACTTTATGAAGGACCCATTCTTTCCAATTTCAATGAGCACGTGTAAATCTAACGAATAAAAAGAAATACCTTACACATTCACACATTGTTTTCCATTTTTATGGTACACTAGCTTATCAGATAACAATACAGAAATATACAGATCACAAATTGTACGTCATCAACCTAAACAATCCCCTCCACCTACCATAAATACAGTATTTGTATCATGGCCACTGATTTCTTTCTTGTAGAGGCGATATCTTGACAGATTCTTGTATCTTTTCTTAACTAAGTACCGTGAAGACATGTTGAGAGTGTGCAGAGAGGACCGTGTAGTTGAGCACTGAGTTCCTGAGTCCTTCTTCCTGTGGTCGTCCCAAACAAACAGCTGATGTGAGGCAGACAAGTGAGGCGCACCTCACACAACCTTCCTCCCGGCCCTAACATCCTCACACCAACCACCCACCACTCACCGCCACACTCAAACTCAACATAGTCAACTACCCTGAAGTAAGCTTATTTAGGCACACGTACACATAAGTACAATTATTATACATTGTGTAAATTACGTAGGATAACCCCAAAAAGACAGATAAAATGACTTGCGTTAGCTAGGTCTGCATACCTTGTACTTGCAGAAATATATTCATATGTATATTAAGTAAGTTTATTCAGGTATACACAAATACAGTTACATAGATTATCATACATAGCAGCATATGTGTAGAGAGCCTAGGATAACCCAAAAAAGTCAAAGTGACTTACTTCCACTGGGGAATCCCGCCTACCAGTGACAATGCCTTCTGCTACCTGTCCCTTTTTCACTTGCCGCCAGTATATAAGCACCAGCCTTCTTGCCTGTGTTCCAGAGCCTTCACGACTACAGTGCTCTTCATGCCAACTCCAAGGCTAAGGGACTGATTACCTTATATTTTGTATATAGTTCTATTGTCTTCAAATTATGTCCTAGAATTTGTATAGATAAATCCAATGAATGGCGAAACCTCTACATTAAAGGTACCCAGATGTTCCATGTGTCTAATTGTCATCTTGTCGGTATTATATGCCATTCATGTACACAAATACAGATACATAGATTATCATACATAGCAGCATATGTGTAGAGAACCTAGGATAACCCAAAAAAGTCAGTGACTTATTTCCATTGGGGTCCTTTTAATTCCATTATTATTATTATTATTATTATTATTATTATTATTATTATTATTATTATTATTATTATTATTATTATTATTATTATTATTATTGGAATAAGTCAGTAAGTAAGGTTATTTAGGTACAGATACACATAAGTACATTTATCACACATAGTCAAGGACTTTGATTTTTTTTACGGTTTTCCAAGGTAATTTACACTATTTATGATAATTGTACTTATGTGTGCCTGTGACTAAATAAACTTACTTACCTATGATAACCCGAAAAAGGACAGGCAAAGTTATTTATTTCCATTGGGGTCCTTACCAACTACTACTACTATCACTTCCTCTAGCTTCTTTTTCGTATTACTTTTTCCTCCTCTCTTGCTTCCGTCCCGCCGTCCTGACTACCAACCTTCGTGCTCCTGTGTGCCTAGTTAATGGTCCACGGTGGACCAACACGTTATCGTAAGTTTCTTTCTCGTATATGTGGATTATTTGTACATTGTCCCAGTTACAGGTTAGGTTAGGTAAGGTTCGTCAGGAAACAGGACAAATGTTTCCTGACGCGGGTCTTAGTCAGATGATGACCCGCCTTTGGAGCTTTTGGTCATCTGACCGAGGCCTTCCGCTGGCTTACCGGTCCACCCCTTTAAAAATTATGGTCATTTATAACCTTCCAAAAATAAAAAGGAAGAAAAAAGTGATGTTTCCAGTTACAGTACTGTGCCTTTTTATTCTTCACAGTCATGTACTACAAGATTGATGTACTCGTACCAAGGTAGCACCTGGAACAAGCTTATTAACAACTCTCATTAGGTTATTATCAACAAGCTCTTTAACTACAAGGGAAATAAAGCATACTAGTAGTCTTTGTTGAGTTTCTACTTCTTTTTCTTCCTTTGCTGCAAGTCAAGCTTAAAACCAAGTTCATTTGACTGTATATTTGACTAGAATTCCACCAGCAGGTCTGAAGTTACTTGAACATGGACATCACAACCATCACACACGATGAAGAATGAGACATTTGGGCAAGTTTTAGGAATCTTTACTGTGGAAACGTTTCGCCAACCAGTGGCTTCTTTAGTCCAACACGAAGGGTAAAAGATGAGGTGTTTGAGGTAACCAGTCCCTCAGCCTGGAGTCAGATAAGATTTTGTTCGAATTTTTACCCCCCGGAAGGTTAGCCACCCAGGATAACCCAAGAAAGGCAGTGCATCACCGAGGACTGTCATATTTCTATTGGGGTCCTCAGTCTTGTCCCCCAGGATTCTACCCACACCAGTCTAATAACACCCAGGTACCTACTTGCTTGCTAGGTGAACGGGACAGCAGGCGTAAGGAAACACGTCCAATGTTTCCACCTTTTTAGGGAATAGAACCATGGACACAGCGTGTGAAGCGAGAGCGTTGCCTACCAGGCCACGGGCCACCGTGTCGTTGTGTTCAGTCCATCAAGCATCAATCTATTTCTCAAGATTGACAGATTGAACACATCGACTCCCAAATGAGGAAAATCTGTGGACTAAAATCACAAGGGTATTAAAAGAGGATAACATCAAAGCTGCTTTCATAGACAACCTGGAAGCTTTCTACAACAGATGGGAACATAAAAAGTCTGGGCTGAATGGTACTGCCCTTGATACTGGCCATGTAGTCAGAAACTGTAAGGCTGGAGGTGATGTCCTGGTAGTCAGTAAATGTGGGACTGATAGTGCTGTCCTGGAAGATAGTAATGGTGAAGCTGGAGGTGCTGTCCTGGGAGACAGTAATGGTGAAGCTGGAGGTGCTGTCCTGGGAGACAGTAATGGTGAAGCTGGAGGTGCTGTCCTGGGAGACAGTAATGGTGAAGCTGGAGGTGCTGTCCTGGGAGACAGTAATGGTGAAGCTGGAGGTGCTGTCCTGGGAGACAGTAATGGTGAAGCTGGAGGTGCTGTCCTGGGAGACAGTAATGGTGAAGCTGGAGGTGCTGTCCTGGGAGACAGTAATGGTGAAGCTGGAGGTGCTGTCCTGGGAGACAGTAATGGTGAAGCTGGAGATTTTGTCCAGGTAGTCGGGAATTATACGCAGGAAGGAATACATATAAATGACCTCATAGGGGACAGGAGCCATAGTGGGGAAACAAGTGTAGTCATAGATAAGATAAAACCAATATTGCAAACTAGAAATACCACAGGAAATAGCAAACAAGAGGACTCCACTAGCAATAGTGAGGATATATTACCAAAAACAACTGGTGGGAGCTCCATTGTTGGTGCTAGGGAGGATAGGAATAAGACAGGGAAACATGCACCAACAGGGAATACAGTCACAGAAACCCAAGGCAAACGGAAACCAAGCCTGTGCACATACTATGCACTTGGTATCTGCAGACATGCGAAATCTGGAAAAAAACAGACGGGACGTGCAACTATGACCACCCTAGAAAATGCCATGCCCATATGACAACAGGAAAATGCAAACTCCCTCCCTGTAAGCTTTTTCACCCTGAAATGTGTACCTCTTCAGTACAGGAAAGATTGTGCTATAACTTAAATTGCCAGGCACACCATCTAAAGGGTACAAAAAGATACAAAACATCCAGGCCATGGGAAAACCTGGGTAGCCACAGCCACTCAAGAGGGAGAGGTTTTTTAGTGCCAGGAAGGAAAAAAAACTGGCAGGAAATGGCAGAAATCGTACACCAAATCCAGTCATTCCTGGAGTGGAACCACAGTCGATGGCCTCCACTCCAAACCAACAGATACAGATACTAATGCCGGAAAAAAAATCCCCCCCCAGTACCAACAACACCACCAGTCCGATGACATTCTTCTTTGCAAATATACAGGGTCTAAAGCCAGCAACAAACAACAAAATACCTTTCATCCGTGGACTGCTTGCAGAGGCAAAGGCAATGTTCACGGCTTTCACTGAGACCCACATAAAGGATCACTTGGACAACGAAATATGGATCCCAGGTTACAACCTATACAGATGTGACAGAGTGAACAGGCAAAAGGGGGGGGGGGTCGAGAACCAAAACCTAGTCATTGTGGTAGTCTACAAGCCTCCGGATGCAACATCCCAGCAATTCCAGGAACAGCTGTTAAAAATTGACCACTGTCTGGAAAATCTTCCAGCTCCTGCACCCAACATCTTGCTCCTGGGGGATTTCAACTTAAGGCACCTAAAATGGAGGAATATAGCAAATAATATTGTTGCAGTAATAACACCAGGAGGCAGCTCTGATGAAAACTCACACTCACACGAGCTTTTAAATCTCTGCACAAAATTAAATTTAAACCAGCAAATAATAGAGCCTACTAGACTGGATAATACACTGGACCTCATCTTCACTAACAATGATGATCTGATAAGAAATGTCACTATATCAAAAACAATATACTCAGATCACAACATAATTGAGGTTCAGACATGTATGCATAGAGCCCCAGACCGACATAACGAGACTAGTCACGAGGGAGCATTCACCAAATTCAACTTCAATAACAAAAACATAAAGTGGGACCAAGTAAACCAAGTCCTAACCGATATAAGCCTGGAAGATATACTAAGCAACACAGACCCCAACTTATGCCTAGAACAGATTAACTTGGTGGCACTCGATGTATGCACAAGGCTTATTCCTCTAAGAAAAAAGGAGGAGTAGATGTAAAATAGAAAGAGACAGGTGCTCCCTTTACAGGCGACGGAAAAGAATAACAGAGCGGCTAAAAGAGGTCAATATATCTGAAATGCGTAGGGAGACACTGGTCAGAGAAATAGCAAGCATCGAACTTAAGCTAAAGGAATCTTATAGGAGTCAGGAATCGCGGGAAGAACTAAAAGCCATAAATGAAATCGAAAGAAACCCAAAGTATTTCTTCTCCTATGCCAAATCAAAGTCGAGAACAACGTTCAGTATTGGGCCCCTACTTAAACAAGATGGGTCATACACAGATGACAGCAAGGAAATGAGTGAGCTACTCAAGTCCCAATATGACTCAGTTTTTAGCAAGCCGCTAACCAGACTGAGAGTCGAAGATCAAAATGAATTTTTTATGAGAGAGCCACAAAATTTGGTTAACACAAGCCTATCCGATGTTATCCTGACGCCAAATGACTTCAAACAGGCGATAAATGACATGCCCATGCACTCTGCCCCAGGGCCAGACTCGTGGAACTCCGTGTTCATCAAGAACTGCCTTCTCCATCCTATGGAGAGGGAGCATGGACACGGGGGTCGTCCCACAGTTACTAAAAACAACAGACATAGCCCCACTCCACAAAGGGGGCAGTAAAGCAACAGCAAAGAACTACAGACCGA